GACGTTTTTGACGACGAGCTGCGTACGAATCAGCTGGCAACAACAGACAGTACAACACCGGCCAACACCATGACTAAGATGAAGCCAGATGCCGAACATAAGACCTCCCTTGGTCTCATGAGCACCGGGGAAACATATGTAGATGGAGAAACCCCAAAGGCTTGGCCGGCTGGGTTACAGGGAGAATCGGTTTGGAGTGGCGCATTCACAGACCTTAGACCACGTCCCAATGGAACCTTTTCCAGCGAAAGGCAGAGTTATCGAAAATAAGAACAAGGCGCACCTAGTTGCTAAATAGCAACACAATGGAGATGTGGGTATGCGCGCGAATTTCAGGAATGCGGAGAATATGGAGGCATGCGTGATCATCGTAACTGTGTACAAAGCTTCCTCGCTGGGAGACTCTTGGGAGAATTAGCTTGATGGAGACTATCAAGATTTATCAACAGCCACGCTTCTCACCCAATACCATGGGTATCATCTGATATAATAGATACCAGGCTTTTCCGTTAACCTCCCAGTCCTTTAAAAAGAAATGCTTGCATATGTAAACCACCTCAAACGCCGTGCGCCCACAAGTCTTGTAAGATTCCATCACAGGTTTCTAAAGGCCGTAGTCGATCACTTCGCACCCTTGCCCTTGGCTTCCGTTTCGCCAAGCTCACGGATGAACACGCTTGCCTTGCCTTCAGCGCTATAGTCCTCCATGCCTGTTTCGAAACCTGGGCAGACACCAACGGCAAGGTACTTGCCATCCTTGGAGAAAGCTAGAGCCGCGACGCTATCGGGGAACTTTTGGTACTGCTTCATCCTGCGCTTGGCCTCGGCGTCCCACAAGGCGACCGTCCCATCACCACCACCCGAGGCAAAGGTGCCGTAAACAGGGTGGAACGTCATAGCATTGACCGGGTACACGATATCGCCCTCGCCATCAGGCGCAGCCGCGCGATGGCACTTGAAGGCGTACTTGCGAGCCTGGGACTCGGCCGAGTCCTCGAACCATTCGACGGCGACGCGACCCTCGATACTGCTGGTGGCGTAGCCGGCATCGTTGGGCATGCAGGAGATGGCGCGGGTGAGGAACTTGAGCGACGACTCGCGCTGCTGCCAGGGCTTGATATCGTGAGGGCCGGGCTCGGCGAAGAGGGCGGGGATGTTGGTCAGGTCGTAGATGTTGACGAGGCGTGCGGTCATGGCAACGACGACCTTTGAGGGGCTAGCTGCCAAGGCATGGGGCTTTCCGGGCAGCTGGACGGTGATGTTCGTATCAGAGGGCGACTTTGCGTTGTGAATCTGGAGGGTGAGGTCCCAAGAGGCGGAGATGAGGAGAGCTGTGAGGTTGGTCAGAACGGCGCGGCGAAAGGTCGGCATAGCTGTGACATCACTCACAGTGCTCTGGGCTGTAAACTACACATCGTGCAGGCGCACCGTGTTGCGCAATGACTTGCTTCTCTTCTGTCTCAAGGTCGATCCTGAATAGAAAGCGTCAGCTTCGTCCAATGGCCAGTGGGAGCTTCATGGTTCGCCATACTTGTAGACGCAGTGGTCTAAACACGCCGCGTAGGCCTCGTTATCTATCGCGCCAAAGGTTACGTCCAGGACAGGCGCCCGGAACTCAATGGCTTTGATGAGAATGCCTGGCGCATCTTCGCCTCCGCTATGTGTGTCGTAGAGGTAGATCTTCTTGTCCCAGCAGGACACCAGAAGTCTGGTAGGCGACTCGGGCGCATATGAAAGCGAGGAGATGGCGTCGCTAGGCGGTTGCGCCAGCTCGAATTGGGATGCTGCTGAAGTATTAGTAGTTGGTCAATATTGTTGGAGCGAGATTTGAGGTCGAAGTCCCCCGAAAACTCACCGGGTGCCATTTTTGGGATTATTGTTCTGATGTTGTTGAAGCTCTTACGGTGAAGTAGCTCAATGCGCCTCTAACAACAAGCAGCTCTGGGTGTACCTGGGCGTTAGCTTCTGGGGTCTGTTTACCTGAACAATTTGGTTGGAGGGGCGCTCACGTGGCGATAAGCGAAGCAGAGCTTATCGGTCGAATCAGCACCGATTCTGCCATGGACTACCGCCCCGAAAGCACCCCCCACCATTGTTCGGATTTCTGCGATTTGTGAACCGCAGTAGCAAAATTGTGACTCGATCGCCCAATCACCAACGTAACGCCGCTCACACCCAAAAGGCCGCTTCTTTCGCTTTTCGACGTCGCCCCCGAGCAACTGATCCCACCGCAAGCGATATCAAGACCGACGAGTAGGCCGACTCTCCACCGAGCACAGAGGAAACAAGCTATCCAAAGACCGGAAGGACGTGTAAAAAGCCCGCGCACCTTCTTTCGCACCCCGCCCCTCCACACCTGTTGGCCGACCACCTTCAACAACACCACCCAACCGCCACCACCACCCTTCGTACTCGACGACATCGAGCACCAGTAGCCAAGATGGCGGAACCGAACTACAGTCACTTTCGATACTTCGAAAACAAGTACCCCGAGATCGATGAGTTCGTCATGGTCAACGTCAAGCAGGTTTGTGCCCCGCCGGCCCAACGCACACGGCGAACCGAACCGCCCCAACCCACCCGGTCGCCGTGGATATGAAGGGTACATGAGAGCGAGAGAGAGGGAACATCCGGGTCTGACTGGTGATATAGATTGCCGAGATGGGTGCCTACGTCAAGCTTCTCGAGTACGACAACATTGACGGCATGATTCTGCTTTCCGAACTTTCGAGACGTCGCATCAGAAGTATCCAGAAGCTCATCCGTGTGGGCCGCAACGAGGTTGTCGTCGTCCTTCGTGTCGACAAGGAGAAGGGTTATATCGATCTTTCCAAGCGTCGTGTGTCGCCAGAGGATATCATCAAGTGCGAGGAGCGGTACAACAAGGGCAAGATGGTCCACTCCATCATGCGCCACGTTGCCGAGAAGACCCTTACCCCGATCGAGCAGCTCTACGAGACCATCGCATGGCCCCTCAACAAGAAGTACGGCCATGCGATTGACGCCTTCAAGCTGTCTATCACGTGAGTTGAGGACTATGTTTCGCTATAACAAGAGGGATTGTGAATACTGATGCGTAAGTAAAGGAACGCCGAGGTCTGGAACGACGCCACCTTCCCCAGCGAGGCCGTCTCCGAGGAGTTGAAGTCATATATCGCGAAGCGTCTCACCCCTCAACCTACAAAGGTCCGTGCCGACGTTGAGGTCACCTGCTTCGGATACGAGGGTATCGACGCTGTCAAGAACGCCCTGCGCACCGCCGAGGCGCGCAACGACGACCAGACCCAGGTCAAGGTCAGACTCGTGTCCCCCCCTCTGTACGTTCTGACCAGCACGTGTCTGGACAAGAACCTCGGTATCACCCGCCTCGAGGAGGCCATTGTCGAGATCCGCAACAGCATCGAGGCTGCGGGCGGTTCGTTGGTGGTGAAGATGGAGCCCAAGGCCGTTACGGAGAGCGACGACGCCGAGCTGCAGGCTCTCATGGAGAAGAGGGAGCGCGAGAACGCCGAGGTCAGTGGTGACGAGAGTGTCTCTGAGAGCGACGACAACCCGGAGGTTTAGATTTTTCCTTTAGAGTCAACGTCATCACAACAAAAAAGGGGCGGCTGGTAGAATGAGCGTACTGGCAGGCTGGGAATCCAGAGTGATTCTAATGAGACGACCAAAAAAGAGTCTAAACATTTCAAAATTATTTCATCCTGGCTGATTGTGAGTGAGCGACGGACTGATGATACTATGAGACGAATGATCCGTTTCAATAGATACGATGTATGGCCGACCTTACCACAAGCTAGGGCATTTAGCGAGAAGACGAATATGTCTATCATAATCAACCCAATTGATGACAGTAGCTTTCCCCGGACACTACCTGACGGCTCATCAAAGAACAAATGTCAGTGACATCCCCCTAAGTAAAGTCGTCCTCCAATAGCCGAATCCGCATAATCCACATACAGTACCGATGCTTGTGGACTTGCCATTTTATCGGCGCGGACGTCGTTGTTGTTGCGGTGACCGAGCGGTTTAATCTCCTGCGTGGAGCAGAATGCTCCTGACGGTTTCATTGGAGGTTCTCAATCGAGGCGAGATGCTGGGGGCAAAAACAACTAGTTCCTAGATACCTACCTGAGGACTGCTTTGCCAGCCCTTCATCCGATAACTTTCCTATCACCTGATTACACCAGAATATACACAGGAAGCCCATATAGGGTGGTCCCTCCAATTCCATTCCAGTCACCAACCAGAAGGCGCCCGTCTAGGTCGACGGATCAGGTAAAACTGGCTAGGTGGTGGAGAGGTTTATGGTCAACAATCAAAAAATTCAGTCGCGCCAACAGCCTACTCGACGACAGGCTACGAGTTCGAGTTCGATTCCCAGCATGAAAACCAAGAGAAGTAGCCCCCAAATCGGCACCGAGGGGGTGAACTCTTTCCTTTTTGGGTTCAAATTGTGATGTTCTTTGTTCGAAGTATATATTGCATGTACTAGAAATTTCGTGATCCTCGTCTCACCCTAGAGATTTAAGAATAAAGAATATTTTGATTCATTGAAGATATATATGACTAGAAGATTGGGCCTGAGCAACAGAACGTAAAGAGACGAATCGGCAGAGGCAATCGTGTCATATGATTACTACACTTCAACTTGATTGTGCGGTTCATTACTTATCTTTAAATGTTCTCTGCTGACCAAGATAAATATAAAATAATCATCATTTTCATACAATTGTCAAATAAAGAGATATCGAATCGTATGATGGAATCTCGAAAGTCCCGCATGTAGGGGGGAGTTGTTAGGCGTACCTTAGTTGATGTTCCCAAAGCTCCAGTACTTTCTGGTGATAGAATTGATAAGATAAGAGATAAGATAACACCCTGAGATGATGGCGAGCTCGAAACCTTCCTCGCGACAATTCTACCTGCAACAGGAGAGAAGGCGCTGTTCCCAAGGCACAGCGCGGCAAACCTCCGCGAAAACCTGACAATATCTTGCGCCCATGGCTTCCCGTTCGCTATGGGCGCGCGCACGAGGGAGCTTCCTCGGTGACACCACGCTTCGCCTGCTCGGGCTTGCGACCTGGATCCCGGTCGTGATTACATTCAACGACCATGTTGCGACCATCACGAGCATCAGCGGCGGCTCCATGTACCCCTACTATAACGAGGATCGCAATAAGACGACTGCAAATGATATGGTGCTCAATTGGAGGTGGAAACCCTCCTACGGGCTCCAGAGAGGCATGATTGTCACATTTAGGTGCGTTTTCACTTGCCCTTCGTATCATGAAGGTTGAGAAGCCGAGCGGCGAGCTGACCCTTTTGCTTGCTTTTCACAGGAGCCCTTTCCATCCCGAAACCGTAGCGATCAAGAGAGTCGTCGCGCTGGAAGGTGAATATGTCACAACGAGAGCACCGTATCCGGAGAGAGTGGTCAGGGTACCGCAGGGCCATATTTGGGTGGAGGGAGATGGGCCACAGGATCAGACGCTGGACAGTAATACGTACGGTCCGATATCTATGGCGCTGGTGACAGGAAAATGCATATGGAATATCTGGCCTTGGCGCAAGTTTGGCCGCGTGAAATGGGAAGAACACAAATTCAAGGATAGATACTGAAGCGCGAATGGCTTCGTGTATGAATAAGCATGTGAGCGGGACACTAAGAGAGTCCTGGATTTGGGTTACAGGGTCATCAAAAGTTTATGTATACCATGAGATAGTTGGTCAACGACTGGGTACTTTCAGCTTCAACTCCCCTCTGAGTATTCAAGATTGTTTCTAATGACGATTGATCTATCTGGTCCTTAAGTCCGGGCAATTTCAAATCCCGCTATCTTTGAAGCGGCGCGGGCTGTCCCGCGTTACAGCTCGGAGCTCTCGGGACCGGGCTTTCAGCTCAGGGCCTTAGGCCCGGCTGATTCAGTCGACACCTGCAGCTGATGAAAGAAAGAGACGGGAGCTCACCCGACGGTGACGCAGCGGGAGTACAGCATTGCATGTGGTCTGTGCACCGCCAACAAAAATTCCCAGAGTCGGGAACCCTGCATGAAATTTCGATATCATTATCTGCAGCTGCTGCTCCTCCTCGCCGCCGCCAAGTTTTTGACAGCGCCAATTAACCCACGCGACAAACAACGACGAGGAGGCCTCTCCTTCAATTTCCCTCGAAGCCCGTTTACTGCGTTATTTCTCCTGTCGTCCCGCAGCGGGAACTCAACAGTGCCCAACCGCGAATCTCTCTTCCCCCCTTCGACATCGAAACCGACCGACGTCAGCATTTCAGGACCGAGAGGGACCGAACCCTTGACGCAGACCAGAGAGTGCCTGGTCAAACAACGACAGGCATCACTCGCAAATGTCCGTCGCTGACCGCATTGTCAGCTCCCTAGCTCCGGCCGACAATAACGCGCAAACGATTCAGGGGGGCATCTCGGCTTCGACCCCGGCGGCGGCGGCCTCGTTCGAGGAGGATAGATATGCGGTACAGACGGGAGGACTTTTGCCGGATATCAGAACAGTCGGACAATCTTTTAGACAGGAGGATATGAGTTTACAAGACGACTCTTTCGAAGAGGAGGGCCGCCCGCCTTACCTCCACGCCATGATTGCTGGAGGTGTCGGAGGTTCGACGGGCGACATGCTCATGCACTCCCTGGACACGGTCAAGACGCGGCAACAGGGCGACCCGCACATACCGCCAAAATACACGTCTCTGGGCTCGTCATACTACAAGATACTACGGCAAGAGGGCGTCCGACGAGGTCTTTACGGCGGATGGATACCGGCTTTGGGTGGTTCCCTTCCGGGCACGATGATGTTTTTTGGGACGTACGAATGGAGTAAACGGTTTCTCATCGACCATGGTGTGCAACAGCACCTGGCCTACCTCACAGCTGGTTCGTCGATCTTCGCGCTGTGCTGTCGAGAGACACTAACTAACTGACTGTTTTCAAGGCTTTCTCGGAGATTTAGCCGGCTCCATCGTTTACGTTCCATCCGAGGTGTTAAAGACCCGCTTGCAGTTGCAAGGACGGTATAATAACCCCTATTTCAAATCGGGCTACAACTACAGAGGAACCGTTGATGCGGCGCGGACAATTGTCCGTCACGAAGGACCGGCTGCGCTCTTCCACGGTTACCAAGCAACACTGGCCCGTGACCTCCCATTTTCAGCACTTCAGTTTATGTTTTGGGAGCAATTTCATGCCTGGGCACGCACCTACAAGCAGAGCAGAGATGTTGGTGTGCCGCTAGAGCTCCTTACCGGCGGTCTCGCCGGCAGCCTGGCTGGCATTATGACATGTCCTCTGGACGTCGTCAAGACGCGTTTGCAGACGCAGGTGCACCCTGATCTGTTGCCCAAGGAGATGAAGCCGGTGGTCAAGGGCGCTGCGCACGCTTCAACGTCAAAATCTCAGACGCGCAACATTTCAACGTCTTCACCCTCGACGCATACCCCGCGACCAGGCGCGGTCAATCTGCAGACCTCGTCTGTCATCGAAGGTCTCAAAGTCATTTACCAGACAGAGGGGCTCAGCGGATGGTTCAGGGGCGTGGGTCCCCGTGGTGTCTGGACTTTTATTCAGAGCGGCACCATGCTGTTCTTGTACCAACGCATTCTCAAGTCATTAGAGACTTGGGATCCACCAGTGGAAGAGCAGGAGCGTGCCATCTAAGGAGGTTTTGGAGGTTGGGCTGGAAACGGGTGATACCAGGGTTGGATGGAGAAAAAACAAAACATTGTACAAACAACCCCCTCTGTACACTTTGTAAGGATAAACATGGGACTGGCGTTTGACGGCATAGTAGAAGGGGCATGGTGTCCGATAGAGAGCTGATAGAGCGAAAGACAAGTCCCACTTCAAGTGCTGATCTGATTTACAAAAAGCCAGAACCAACGTGTGCGATATGGTGGCCTAAAGTCGTTGTTCTCAAAGAGATTGAATCATCACAAGGCTCACTTGAGGGAAAAGTCATAATAAGGTTCATGGTTCTTGGAGTATATCTCAAAAAGCACCAAACAAAACCTCTTGTGAAAGACATGTGAGAGAGGCTGTAATAAGGTAAGCTTTCCAGGTTGGTTCTCTGGGATGACCAAGCTCCAGCTAGGTGTCATATGCAGCAACCTGCAGTACCTACCTGCCTGCCCCGCCAGGTTCTAGCCCAAGTGCCTATTGATGGCCGGGGGAGGAACTAGACCCCTGGCTACCCGCTAAGACCCCCCTGCGTGACGACAGACCGAGCTTCCATGGCTGACGCGGGGTGTGCTGAAGCTTCCCTGGTGCAACTCCCAAAATTTCGACCTGTGAAACACGCGCCTCGCGACAGGAACCAAGACCTCGAAACTCTTCCATTGTTCACCACTCCTCCACCCACTGCAGCACCCATCCAACCGCGCACCCACTTTCACGGCTTGAACACACAAGGAAACTTCACGTTCGAATTGAATAGACGTTCCAATGGCCTCTGATTCAGGCACGCCTCCTCCTCCACGGGAGCCGACCCCGGGCGGCTCCCTTCCATCTTCAACTGCGATCCCCTTGAAGAGACCTGCTCTCGAAGAAGACTTTACTCCTTCTGTACCTTCGCCACTCAATCCCGACGTCAGATCTACACCAAAACCTTCAGGCGCCGACGAGATGCCAGCAAAGCGCAACAAGAAGGAGTCGCTGAAGAAGCGCGAATCCAAGGGCGCCTTTGGCGGCGACAGCAACCGCGGCACGCCGGACCCCAAGCATCGCGAACCTAAGCAGTCCGACTACAGTCCGATGCGCTACAAGCTGGCGCCTCCCAAGCCTTCCGACTTTGAACCTGCTCGCGGCGCCAGCTTCACTCATCACCATAACGTCCCTGCTTTGGATGGAAGCGAGATCCAGTTCTACGAGACGTCGGAGCAGTGAGTTTGCCGACAGCTGAGTGCGCCTGACTGAAAATGCTAACGAGACCAAAGTGTTCACAATAAGAAAAGCTACCACTACACTCACTGTATAGCGGACCCCGGATTCCCCTCAGCACTATACTACCGAGGTACCGAAGCAGAGCCCACAGGGCCTCATCTCAGCTTCGAGGACAGCGCAACTCATCTGTTCTTTGACCAGACGGGCCTTCATATTACGACCAACAAGGGTTTCCGCATGACGCGCGCGAATGTCGCTATTCGGGAGGGACGGTTCTACTGGGAGACCAAGATTACAAGAGGAATTGTCGACAAGACAAGCGGAGATGAGAAGCCCGAGTCGCATGGCCACGTGCGCATGGGTTTCGCGAGAAGAGAGGCAACTTTGGATGCGCCAGTAGGATTCGACGCATACAGTTACGGCTTGCGCGACGTTGGAGGCGAGAAGGTTTACATGTCACGACCCAAGTCCTTCTTCCCCGAGGGAGAGGGCATCCGGGAGGGCGATGTCATCGGCCTGGAGATCCAGCTGCCTTCGGAACGCCTGCAGCGCAAGGTCCTGGCTGGTCAGTACAACCCGGCCGTTGATACCGGCTTGGACGATGACAGCACAAACTTTGATGCGCCCAACATTGTCCGTGATCGCATCCCCATTCGCTTCAAGTCGCACATCTACTTTGAGAAGATTGACTACCACACAACCAAGGAGCTCGAGGACCTCATGAACCCTTCGCCCGTCTCCTCCGGCCCGGCCAACTCAGTCGAACCGCCCAACCCTAACCACGTCGTCCCTGCCCTCCGTACGCTTCCTGGATCCTTCATCAAGGTGTACAAGAACGGCGTGCTCATGGGCACCCCTTTCACCGACCTTCTCGCCTTCCTGCCCCCGGCCTCCAAGCCGCAGGGACAGATCGGTGCTCGCGAGGGCCTCGACAATGGTATGCTCGGCTACTATCCCGCCGTGAGCGTCTTCAGGGGCGGTGCTGCCGAGGTCAACTTTGGCCCCGACTTTTGGTTCCCGCCTCCCGGGCTAGAGGAGAGTCCCGACGACAATGAGGTATCCATGATCGACGCCGGACAGGAAGAATCCAAGAAGGTAGCAGCGTCATCCTCGGTGCCCGCGTACCCTGGTCTGGATCAGGTGCGGCCGGTCTCGGAGCGGTACACGGAGCAGATTGTCGAAGATATCGTCTATGACATCATTGACGAGGTTGACTTTTGGGTCCAGGATGGCTGCAAAGTCATTGATCGTTTCGGTCAGGGGGGCGAGAAGGCTGGTCAGACGGGCAGTCTTGCTGCTGGTGGACGCGAGGAGATTAAGGAGTTGGTTCAGGACGATTAGAAGGGATGACCCTCACGATGGGGGAGGCAATGTTGTGAGACACAGTAGTCAATTCTTTTTCTGTTTTGCGCTCCGGAAGATACCCAGACAGACTTTGCGATTATGAAAGTCTTTGCATTCCAATTCATAGCTGTACATAAAAACTATCACTGGGTGAGAAACATTGAGTAGGGAAAATGTCCTCTCCACATAGAGGGCCCTTAATTTTCCAGAAGGTAAGGATGGTAAAAAAATATATATAACGAGAATGAATGTATTTCATCTCTCTCATCATGTCGTTCTCATCCTTGCCTGTCCATTTCATTCAAACATCGTTCTGAATCATTCGTCGTAGAGTTCAAGGAGACGCCAGCCGTAAGGGTCATTATAAAAGAAAAGAATTGTGGAAAAGGAAGAAAAGTCGGTCAACTTCCAAAGCACGCGCCAGCTCCCCCCCCCCCCCCTTTTTACTTCCTTGTCGACCTCCGTCTAGGGGAATCGGGGCCCGGCGACGCCCGTCGCTGAGGCGTCGTCCGTCCGGAGCTGTGTCGGCCGCTCCGCCGGCTGCGTTCGCTGCGCTGGCTGCGCGGACGATCTGATGACCGCACCACCGGCTCGGTGCGCGAGCGGGAGGGACCCGCCATGAGGGCCGGGTCATCGGGGAGTTCTTCGATGCGGCCGGAGCCGTCGATGATTTCGGGCGCGTTTTCGCGCTTGATGCGTTCTTCGCGGCCGCGCTTGTGGCAGTACCACAGGACGAAGAGGAGGACTTTTGAGGGGAATCATGTTAGCATTCTACTCCTGATTCTTGAAGACGAAGGACTGGTCAAGGGGTAGGAAAGACTTACGGAAGATGGAAACGCTCCAGATGACGTTTGCGCCGATAAAGGCCGGCCAGCGCAGCTTGAGAGCGTTGACGATGGCCTTGAGCATGCCCACGACGGCGCCCGGCTTGGTGACGAGGTCCGCGAGGCTCGTGGGCGTGAACATCTTCTTCGCGGCGCCCTTGATGCCTTCCTCGGCGGCGAATTCCGCGTGGTTGACGCCCTGTGCTTTCGCGGCGGCGGCGAGGACCTCGGGTCCCAGGCTGGCGGTGAACTTGTCCGGGAGCTGGGTGACGAGCTTCTTCATGCTGTTGGGGAGCTTGTCAAACGTCTTTGCGAGGGTGCCGTCGCGGTCCTCGACGAGGGCCTTGAGGTCGTCTGCGGCCGTGGGCACGCCGTTGACGAGGTCCTTTAGGACGAGGGTGAATTTGGAGACGAGCTCGGAGGATTCTGCGGATAAGGGCACGGCTTTGTTGTTGCGCGCTGACAGGTTGAGGTCGTCGAGCACGCGGGAGAGGTCGTCTTCTTCGCGGGCGGCTTCCTTTGGTGGGACGTTTGCCTTTGTTGGGGCGAGCTGCTTGTCCTTGTCGTCGAGGGTTCCTTTGGCCTTGTTGAAGAGGAAGGCGATCTTGCTGGGAATTTTGGAACTGCTGCCCGAGGCATTTGCGTCTTTTGGGTCTACCGCTACTGTCGCGGCCTTCTTGGGCGTCTGCTTCTCGGCGGCGGCGGCGGCGCGCCGGGACCCGTCAGAGTCCTCCCAGATGTACTCTGGCGTCTTGCTGCGCGGGGGCAGGGCCGGCCGGACGCTCTCGTCGTCCGAGTCGACGTCGTTGGCGTCGGCGAGGATGCGCCTGAAGAAGGCCTCATCTTTGCGGTTGAGGAGAGGCGCGGGGCCTCCGCCTCCTGTCGCTGCGCTTGCTGTTGTCGAGACGGACTGCGAGCTCGTTTGGCGTCTTGTGGCTGATGGTCGCGAGTCTGGGTGAAGCTTGCCTGGTGATGGTAACGGTGCTGGCGAACCGTTGTTGTGTTCCGCCTCACCTTCTGCTGCTGCCGCCTCTTTTGCCTCCTTCTCTGTCTTGTACTTTTTGAACTTCTTGTAGCTCAGGTATTCCAACATCTTGGGCGACGAAGTTTAGGTTTCTCTGGGGAGAAACCAACAGAGTCTAAGGGTGGCGTACTGGTTGACAAGTTCTGTGATCCAATATGCTGTCAACTAAGAATCACGGCAAAGAAAGTTGTAGTTTCCTCGAACAAGATGCAAGAGCGTCGTAGTGAGGCGGTCGGAACAGGTTTATTTTATTACAACGGCCAAGCGCTTGTTCTGAATCACATGCGGTCTGGGTCTGGGCCAGGGCCCTGCGCTCTATCATGCGGCGTCACGTCGTCCAAGTTCATGTGTTAGATTGGTTGAGCGGGCAAGCTGGGGGGTAGCTCACACAGCCACATGTGATGTCACCCTTGCAGCGGCCTCCGATGTGGCGGTGCAATGGACAAGAGTGGAGATCCGGATACAGCTGCCGGTTCGCTTAAGAGCGGTCCAGTTGTTTGAGGTTGCGCCGGAGGCATCCAATGGAAGAGCATGAATGATCACCCGTTCAGAATTCGCCTCTTTTGTTGGGGCTGGTATGGGCAAAT